GCTGTCGAACACGACGATCAATGACGTCACAGATGCGTTCTACGGGAGACATGTGTCGGGAGCGTGCAGGCCACGGCAACACGTTGACGTTGTTGGCTGAAAGGGAATTCTGTACGATTCGGGCTGTAAGGGGGTTTGGCGTTGTCATGGTGATAAAGGACACCACGTGGCAGCTGTTGTAGAAATGGTAGGACAATCGGACGAAGAATGTCATCCATGTAACGCGAAGGTGTCAAATGTTCGTTAACGATGACGAGTGATGTTCCCCCCTTCCCTACAGCTTGGTCCACTCCAGGATGTTTAAAGTAGTTTCCTGGTTCAAGTCAGCTTACGTCTGATTGGTCTAGTTCAAATTCTAATCTAGCACTCAGCATTTCACCTTCAGACGAACCGATACACCTTGACCATGTTGACTGACCACAGCCGTGGCGTTGAAGTGGTAAGACTTCCGCCCGTTTCCCCCCTCACAAATATTTATAATTAAAAGGATTGAGCGGCAATGCATACATATATAACTTTTGGAGGGGGATACGGGCGGATGTCTTTCCGTGTAAGTAGCTCAGAGCGATCCTCATACTGTGAGGTCAGTATTTGGTGTATCCAGTCCGCGCCCAGTGTCCGCGGGGCATTTGTCCTTGCTATTGCAGTCCAAGCACGGTGCCTCAGATGCCATCGATCAGTCTGCAATGCATATGAGAGCCTCCGTTGCAATGAGCGCTGGCTCTAGCTCTATCCGCTATACATCATCAACCAAGGATTTACTTTCAAAGTTCTAAGCATCTTCGGCACAGTTAGGCGCCGGCATTTATGGCACCTCTAGTCAACCCAGAGGGATAAAGAATATTTTGCTAGTTGGGGCTGCCGCCTGGAACACCTCCCATCGGATAAACTGTTTGTTTGTTGTTTGTTGTTTGTTGTTTAACACCGCACTCAGCAATATTCCAGCTATATGACGGTGGTCTGTAAATAATAGAGTCTGGACCAGACAATCCAGTGATTGACATCATGAACATCGATCTACGTAATTGGGATACGATGACATGCATCAACCAAGTCAGGGACCCTGACCACCCGATCTCGTTAGTCGCCTCTAACGACAAGCATGGGTTGCTGAAAATAAATTACACCCTGATCTATAGGATCCTTGGAGTTATGTGTGTATTTGTTGGAGTAAAAGGGAAAGCAATACATCAACATGTCTTCTTTCTTTAAAAACTACAGAATTGTTTAAGAATTCACAATTTTCCGAAATCTAATACCCACCTTCATTCAAAACAGTCATTGATGAACAAAATACTTTTTTTATGGAAAAAATATAAATGTGCTTCTGAAATCATAAAATGGTAAATTTACAGATATGCACTTCCGTTGCTGATGTCCCTTTGTAAACATGCATCAATGGCCATTCATCTCACACAAAGCTTGATACCTACACCGAGGGCGAGTGACGCCGACGTCAACAGCAACAACACACACACCACCGTCGACATGTTTTGGGGGAATGCCGGCTTATCATGTGGCAGAGGTCCGACTTCAAGGGTCCAGTCTCGTATCTTGATATCTGATACAATGTGTTATTGACAGGCCCAGATACAACCCAGATTGATAACCCTGTAAGATATAGGTGATAACCTTGATACCCTGTCTCATGACATACTGCAAGTTAGCAAAGATCTCGGACACATCAGTATCGGTCCATAACACATCTAACATTGTGTTGACTGGTCAATATCATAATATATCTAACATTGTGTTTACTGGTCAATATTATACAAATAATTATTCTTGACGAGGTAAATATGCGAAAGCAAGAACGCGAAGATCCAACCCCTGAGTAGGCCTGACCGGACCGAGGCCGCAAACGATCTTTGGTCCAGAACCATGAGGTGTGAAATTGGGTTTAACGTCGCGTGCAAGATTATTGCACGTATGTAGGGACGTGCATACACCACACAGACCCAGTATACTGACTCCGAGACGTCATTGTTTTATCCCCTTAACGACGAGCGCCAGGCAGGGCAACAAGTGCACCTTTGGTGCTGTTTGGTTTGACGCTACCGGGGATCGAACCTCCGACCTTCTCCTATACGGGCGAACGCTCTAACCACCACACCACGGCAGCAGTCTTCTCTAGTCATGACAGGGAAATGTCGGGTTCACAGAGGGCACTGAAGCCTACATGAGACGAATCATAACTAAATATGTTTTGGCTTTGGAATTTAAAGAGGAACTTGGCTGGGATAGCAGGTTAGAATCAAACCATTCTAAACCCACTTTGTTTCTACGAACTCAACTGTCATGACGTATAGAATCTATGTCGACCCTCTTAAAACAGAGTCTAAGTTTCACTAATGACACCGGATAGGTCCGGACTAATTACTACATCCACACCTAAAATGTGAAAATGCCAAGTCTGTCATAGCCAGAGAGGGAATCTCTCAGGAGGAGCTCAGTGTGGATATAGCATGACTTACAAGCTGATAGCCGAACTTTAAATACTGCCCCTTACATCTCTCTACGTGTTGCTTTTCTTACATGCTGAGTGCTGCTTTTTAGGTTCTATCAGCTTTTTTCAAGTTTAGTGCTGCTTTCACGCGTTCAGTGCTGATCCAAATGGGATTTCAGGGTAACTGTACCCTGTAACCCAAACTCACCAACGTAAACCAGGGTAGAAGGTACCCAATACCCCATGTTTGTTTATTGTTGCTTAACGCTGCACTCGGCAATATTCCAGCTATATTTTGGCGGACTATAAATAATCGAGTCTGGACCTGACAATCCAATGATTGACATCACGAAGAAGGGTGTGTGGCTTCTTGACCCAATCAGATCTCAACTTCCTAAAACTATTCAACGTTGTTTCATTACCACCATAATTTCGGGTGTATTATACATCCACAATATAATGGTATGGCCTTCATCATCTACTCTCAAAAAGGGAATTTTTGTTTTTTGGGGGCCTATGGAAATCATACCAGCTGGTGTGAATGTTTCGTGTAATTTAGGTCTCCACGGCGATTGGCTAAGAAAGTTCACCTAACATGACCTACTGCTATCTACGGGCAAATGCTATATAGCTGGATTATTGCTGTGTGGTAAAACATTTTCTCTGATGTCCAATGCTACATAGCGTATGTCCCATGCTGCATAGCATATGTTCAATGCTGCTTAGTGTATGTCCAATGCTGCATAGTGTATGTCCCATGCTGCATAGTGTATGTCCCATGCTGCATAGTGTATGTCCAATGCTGCATAGTGTATGTCCAATGCTGCATAGTGTATGTCCAATGCTGCATAGCGTATGTCCAATGCTGCATAGTGTATGTCCAATGCTGCATAGTGTATGTCCAATGCTGCATAGTGTATGTCCAGTGCTGCATAGTGTATGTCCAATGCTGCATAGTGTATGTCCAATGCTGCATAGTGCATGTCCAATGCTGCATAGTGTATGTCCAATGCTGCATAGCGTATGTCCAATGCTGCATAGCGTATGTCCAATACTGCATAGTGTATGTCCAATGCTGCATAGCGTATGTCCAATGCTGCATAGTGTATGTCCAATGCTGCATAGCATATGTCCAATGCTGCATGGGGGATGTCCAATGCTGCATAGCGTATGTCCAATGCTGCATAGCGTATGTCCAATACTGCATAGTGTATGTCCAATGCTGCATAGTGTATGTCCCATGCTGCATGGGGGATGTCCAATACTGCATAGGGTATGTCCAATGCTACATAGCGTATGTCCCATGCTGCATAGTGTATGTCCCATGCTGCATAGTGTATGTCCCATGCTGCATAGTGTATGTCCAATGCTGCATAGTGTATGTCCAATGCTGCATAGTGTATGTCCAATGCTGCATAGTGTATGTCCAATGCTGCATAGCGTATGTCCAAGCTGCATAGTGTATGTCCAATGCTGCATAGTGTATGTCCAATGCTGCATAGTGTATGTCCAATGCTGCATAGCGTATGTCCAATGCTGCATAGCATATGTCCAATGCTGCATAGTGTATGTCCAATGCTGCATAGCGTATGTCCAATGCTGCATAGCATATGTCCAATGCTGCATAGCGTATGTCCAATGCTGCATAGCGTATGTCCAATACTGCATAGTGTATGTCCAATGCTGCATAGCGTATGTCCAATGCTGCATAGTGTATGTCCCATGCTGCATGGGGGATGTCCAATACTGCATAGTGTATGTCCCATGCTACATAGCGTATGTCCCATGCTGCATAGTGCATGTCCCATGCTGCATAGTGTATGTCCCATGCTGCATGGGGGATGTCCAATACTGCATAGTGTATGGCCAATGCTGGATAGCATATGTCCAATGCTGCATAGCGTATGTCCAATGCTGCATAGCGTATGTCCAATGCTGCATAGCATATGTCCAATGCTGCATAGTGTATGTCCAATGCTGCATAGCATATGTCAAATGCTGCATAGCGTATGTCCAATGCTGCATAGTGTATGTCCAATGCTGCATAGTGCATGTCCAATGCTGCATAGTGTATGTCCCATGCTGCATGGGGGATGTCCAATACTGCATAGTGTATGTCCAATGCTGCATAGTGTATGTCCAATGCTGCATAGTGTATGTCCCATGCTGCATAGCGTATGTCCAATGCTGCATAGTGTATGTCCAATGCTGCATAGCGTATGTCCCATGCTGCATAGTGTATGTCCCATGCTGCATAGTGTATGTCCAATGATGCATAGCGTATGTCCAATGCTGCATAGCGTATGTTGAATGCTGCATAGCGTATGTTCAATTCTGCTTCTTGCATGTTCAATTCTGCTTCTTGCAAGTTCAAAATTAATTCTGACATGTTACAGTGGTATTCGTTTTGTGTTCAAATTCCTCAGTTTTTACACCAGTGGCAGAATAACTGTGAGAAGGCCTTTCCTGTCCCTTGATCAATGTTGCAGCAATATTAGGAGGGAACACAAGCCTGAGTTTCACACTGCGGGAATGAGGGGAATGATCCCAGGGAGGGGGAGAGAAGGCTTTGTTCACGAAACAAAACACGGCCTTGTAACTGTAAGGATGTAACACCTGCGAAGATCAGGGTAGAGAATAGGTCTTCAGCAACCCATGCTTGTCTCCACCTGTGAAGATCAGGGTAGAGAATAGGACTTCAGCAACCCATGCTTGTCTCCACCTGTGAAGATCAGGGTAGAGAATAGGACTTCAGCAACCCATGCTTGTCTCCACCTGTGAAGATCAGGGTAGAGAATAGGACTTCAGCAACCCATGCTTGTCTCCACCTGTGAAGATCCGGGTAGAGAATAGGACTTCAGCAACCCATGCTTGTCTCCACCTGTGAAGATCGGGGTAGAGAATAGGACTTCAGCAACCCATGCTTGTCTCCATCTGTGAAGATCCGGGTAGAGAATAGGTCTTCAGCAACCCATGCTTGTCTCCATCTGTGAAGATCCGGGTAGAGAATAGGACTTCAGCAACCCATGCTTGTCTCCACATGTGAAGATCCGGGTAGAGAATAGGACTTCAGCAACCCATGCTTGTCTCCACCTGTGAAGATCCGGGTAGAGAATAGGACTTCAGCAACCCATGCTTGTCTCCGACTTGTGAAGATCCGGGTAGAGAATAGGACTTCAGCAACCCATGCTTGTCTCCACCTGTGAAGATCAGGGTAGAGAATAGGACTTCAGCAACCCATGCTTGTCTCCACCTGTGAAGATCAGGGTAGAGAATAGGACTTCAGCAACCCATGCTTGTCTCCACCTGTGAAGATCAGGGTAGAGAATAGGACTTCAGCAACCCATGCTTGTCTCCACCTGTGAAGATCCGGGTAGAGAATAGGACTTCAGCAACCCATGCTTGTCTCCACCTGTGAAGATCAGGGTAGAGAATAGGACTTCAGCAACCCATGCTTGTCTCCACCTGTGAAGATCAGGGTAGAGAATAGGACTTCAGCAACCCATGCTTGTCTCCACCTGTGAAGATCTGGGTAGAGAATAGGACTTCAGCAACCCATGCTTGTCTCCACCTGTGAAGATCAGGGTAGAGAATAGGACTTCAGCAACCCATGCTTGTCTCCACCTGTGAAGATCCGGGTAGAGAATAGGACTTCAGCAACCCATGCTTGTCTCCACCTGTGAAGATCAGGGTAGAGAATAGGACTTCAGCAACCCATGCTTGTCTCCACCTGTGAAGATCCGGGTAGAGAATAGGACTTCAGCAACCCATGCTTGTCTCCACCTGTGAAGATCAGGGTAGAGAATAGGACTTCAGCAACCCATGCTTGTCTCCACCTGTGAAGATCAGGGTAGAGAATAGGACTTCAGCAACCCATGCTTGTCTCCACCTGTGAAGATCTGGGTAGAGAATAGGACTTCAGCAACCCATGCTTGTCTCCACCTGTGAAGATCAGGGTAGAGAATAGGACTTCAGCAACCCATGCTTGTCTCCACCTGTGAAGATCAGGGTAGAGAATAGGACTTCAGCAACCCATGCTTGTCTCCACCTGTGAAGATCCGGGTAGAGAATAGGCCTTCAGCAACCCATGCTTGTCGTAAGGAAAACTAACAGGATCGGGTGGTCAGGCTTGCTGACTTGGTTGATGCATCTAATTGTATCCCAATTGCGTAGATCAATGCTCATGATGTCAATCACTGGATTGTCTGGTCCAGACTTAATTGTTTACAGACCGCTGTCATATAGCTGAAATATTGCTGAGTGCAGCGTTAAAGAACACACAAACAGTAAAGCTGGATTAGGATCAAAACATACTCACAAATTTTATATCAGAAATAATTTATTTACAATACAAAACAATATGTATACAACCCTCATGGTCCATTGGTAGAAGGGAAATCTCAAAGTGGTTTATAACAAAAATGAAAATACTTTTTTTTATTTCTGTAATTTTCCACAAGTCAAGACTATCTCCCTACACAACAAGGGCAGATCACAATCTGTCCTTCAATTTGTCTGCCTGAATGTAGGTGTAATGTTGGAATATGTGATGTTTGATAAACAATGTGTGGTCTCAGACAGCAATATATAAATGTGTGTGCACTGATTTTACTGGCAAAAGTAAAAGGACCCCTTCCATCATGTTATGTTTCTTCAACTGGAAACGGGGGAAAAAATCATTCAGATACTTCCATATTTTACATCACAAAGTCAAAATATACAGACAACTTAACAGACAAGTTCCCTCTCGATTGCCATGTAAAACAACATCTGCTGACAAACTTATACACAATTACATTTCACATGGAAATTCCCCACTCTCTCCATGAACACCGAACAAAGGTCGGCTCTGCGAATCACATCTCATTTCCCCATGAATGTTTTGTGCATCTCAATGTGACATTATTACCTGCCCGACTTTACAGATGACCTTTCACGTCCCTAACAACTTAGAAACAACATATTATGCCTTATTCTGCATATTGCACAACTGTCAGTGTTCATGTCCAAAACAATCTCAGAGCAGACAGAACTATAGCTACACATTTTGTCATGTTGATGGCAACTGTACAATAAACTATTTTCATATTAGCACTCATTCAATTAACATAGACCTTGAATATCACATATGATTGCATTGGTGGTATATAGACATGTTTCTATGGTAACACTTCAGTCTTCATCCTCAACAGTCTGGAGCAAGTATCTAGAAACTTCTAGAAACAGTTAACAAAACTGATCATTTCCTAACATCAATCAAAAATAATTTGGACTAGCTGACAGAAAGGAAGGGTTGAGACTGATGGTTGCCAAGGGAACAGTGACTCCCGGAGGTGGCCTGTTACCAGGGGAAACAGGGGTCCTTGCAGTACTGTATCCAGGTTTCAAGATGGCCGCTGTCGACCTGCATCAGAGCCGTGTACGTTGTCAGCTGAAACAGAAACATGAGATAGACTGTGAGTGAGTGAGCGAGCGAACGAGTGAATTGGGCCACTTTTGAACAGTCTTTCAGTTATATGACAGTGAGTCAACGAGTGAATTGGGCCACCTTGAACAGTCTTTCAGTTATATGACAGCTTTATGGGGGAGGACAGTCTGACGTGATGCAGGTCTTACACATGGACCATTCAGGTAAAGCCAATGAGCACAGGCGTGTGAGACAAACCAAGAAACATGATCTGGATGAAACGGACTTCAAACCCACTATCATAAGGGAGGCAACTCTGCACTGCAACTTCTGGCAGCAAGTGTCCACATTCAGTCAATAAAAAGATGAAACCCCGGTATGACGTAAACTTCCACAGAATCTTGCCAGCATGGGAGACTCATCAGAAAACGTCAGGTCAAAGTTAAAGTTAAGAAAACGGGGCCAGCACTGAGACAAGGGTACCAGTTACAAACTTTCAACTATCTCATGCAGTATAACTTAGCACATGGTACTGGCAAACAAGGGCTACACGGACCCCATGGCATGTAGACCGACCTTGTTCAGGACTGGTATGGAAGAGAGCACATCAAACAGGCCACTGACGGAGACATTCTGCAACACAGATGATTACATGAACATGTGGGTGATAACCATGTAATATCACATAGGAAAGTAGGACATAAAATATTGATACCGGAACATCAAAATGTTTGCTTTATGGGAGAGTGACCCCAGTAGCTGGACACTGACTGCCTTCAGCAGCACCTCTAAACTGAGGGTTTACACATGGAACACTCACAGGACACTGAACCTTAGTCTTTGACATTCCGGGGAGACAAGCATAGGGTATTGGGGACTTATTCTGACCCAGAATACTCACAGGGAGACAAGCATGGGGTACTGGGGACATATTCTACCCCAACACTCTACCCCAACACTCTACATAATACTCTACATCTTCTAATTAACAATAAATGAAAGGGAAAGACTTCGGCCCGTTTCCCCCCTTAAAAAGTAACATGTGCATTGCCACTCAATCCTTTATATTATATATATTTTTTAGGGGGGATACGGGCGTAAGTCTTTCCATAGCAAGAAAAGACAGATGACATCTGTGATAGGGTAAGTGTCCCCATAATTCCACCAGTGTCCAATGGGTGAACGTTTGAGTACACATGTACCTGCTTGGTGAGTTTGTGCATGCACTTGTTGGCCGGGGTGCGTCGATCATCCAGCACCATGGGTTTCTCCCAGTGGTCGTAGTTCGTCTCCAAGATGTACCAGCCTCCAGCTGATGCCATCGGCCACACGTCCAGCGTCTTCTCCCTGGCCCTTGTGATCACGCAGGCCTACAACACAGGAGGCGAGGTCAGGTGAAATGGGGTTTAACGTCCATGATTCTTTCACTTATATAATCTGATTGCTCCCTACAGACACAGATGCTGACAAACAGCCGTGCAGTCCTTGTTTTAGCTCCTTAATGCCAGACAGGGTAACAACAAGTATCATCTTTATACGTCTTTTGGTATTACGCGGCTAGGTATCGAACCCCGGGCCTTCCGCTCTCCGGGGAGACGCTCTACCACTAGACCACAGAGGTGGTCCTACAACACAGGAAGTCATAGAGGTTATCACGCGAGTGTGTTTGGGGATGGTAAATATCCTGCATTAGGAATAAACATTGTATTTAGCGAGCCTTGGCGAGCTAAATACATAGTGTTTATTCCTAATGCAGGATATTTACCATCCCCAAACACACGAGCGTGATAACCTCTTTATCATATAATGTCATCCTTTAATTCTTTGCTTCAAAATCGCTTTCTCTCTCTCACAAACAATACCGAAACATAGCGAGTTTTCCTGGAATGCGCGCATTAATATTTATTAGGTCACAGGGTAAGTGATGTGTCAGTCGCACAGTGACAGTAGCCAATATAGTTCCTACTGAAATCTCTTTCTTATACAGTGGCGAAGCAACATATACTCAAAACAACAATTGTTTTAATTGCTTTTCGCGGCAATCCATCGGTCTGTCTGCTAGAGTAACTGCCCTTTGTCAAAGGGAAGCTACTCTTATCCTAGTCTATGAGACGTAACAGCCACGGTCAGACGTTGTTGACAGTCGGTCCGTCCGGTCATAACATTAAGAAGTGTAGTCAGATCATGATGTACACACAGCGACAAAACGAAACAAGGTAACAATTCAAACATATTTCGGCCAAATCCAACTATTTTAATTTGTGGAGAAAGGTTCAAGGCGCAGAGGTCTACAAGCACAGATATGGATACTGATCCCGCTTGGCTACGCCTCGTGCCCTCGCAAAATTGTGTCAAAATTAAATCTCAAAAGTTGCCAAGACTTATAAAAATGCCTTAGCTACGTCACAGTTAGACACTGATTTTCAGTATATTAGACTGTTCTTTTGATAATGAAAGCAATTATCTCTGTAGTTTATCCAGATTCCCGATGGTTAATTCTGACTCGATCGCCGAATGTCGAGGGCGAAGCCATGTTTGTTTATAAACAGTGAAAGTAGTCCCTACTTGACCTTTGATATTTGCATCTCTATCCGCATATGACCCCAACGGATATCGTTTTTATCCGTTGGCTTTATCCTGCCTAGAAACCTACCCATTATATGATAAATACTGTTATCTGAATGTGAAGTATTAATGTAGAACAATGTCTGTAAATAGGGACATGTTCACTAACAAACCACATACTACTACACCAACAAGCGTCCTGGTACGTGTGATCACACATGCCTACAACACAGGACTTAGTTAAATCATCTCATCTCAAAATGTAGAGACTATAGTCCTGAACACACACTCATTGTATGTAGAAAATATCTCCAAAATCAGAACATAAGTGCCAGGCCCACCACCAACTGCACATGTACCGACTGACATTACATTCTGAACAGAGGTGTCTGAGAAATGACCAGAAATAGTTTTCAAGATGGCTGCTGTGCTGGCCATTTTGAAAATCAGATTGGAACAAACTGGGTGTCATCATTACATGCACTAGTGGGAACAATGATGTTTTATTTGTTTGTTTGTTTGTTTGTTTGTTGTTTAACGCCACACTCAGCTATATTCCAGCTATATGACGGCAGTCTGTAGATAATCGAGTCTGGACCAGACAATCCAGTGATTGACATCATGAGCATCGATCCACACAACTGGGATACGATGACATGCATCAACCAAGTCAGCGAGCCTGCCCGACCGATCCTGTTAGTCGCCTCTTACAACAACCATAGTCGCCTTTTACGGCAAGCATGGGTTGCTGAATACATGGGTCTGGAGCAAGGATGTGAAGGTCCAGCTTCTCAGGAGATGTTGACGCCCGACAACCATGCCACGGCATAAGTACATTTGACTTTCAGTCAGGGGAGCTGAAAACATTCACAAGCCTCGTATGGATCTTCTTCCCCCGTTTTGTTTCCGAAACTCACCTCCCCTGACTGATTGCCCCCGAGGATGAAGTACGCTGGGGCCAGCATCTCAGTCTGCGTCAGCCAGTCACGCGCCTCCTCATAGCTGGTAGCGTTCTCCATCACGCGGCGGGTCAGGAAGCCCATCCACGAACCACTGTGATCCCCCAGCACCCACTCCATGATCCCTATGACACAGGAGAAATAGGCATCATGTCAAACTGCCGCCCAATCACTGCTGGTTACATTGATACAGGACAGTCCAAGACTAATGTGACATGCCTCCATTTTCACAGAACTTCCGTGTCAACCTATACATTCCTTCCGCTTTGAATTGCTCACTTCATGACCTGGTTTATGGACTCAGCGTGCATGCCCCATTTATAAAAGTCCTCGACCCACCGTGGTACTCTACTAAATGTGTTGGCACATGCTACAGCCATACCTTTGTTGGCATACTGTAAATCTGGAAATTAATGCGGGCGTGAACTATATGCCAAAAATGTGAGTGGCCTCTGCTCGTATTAATTAACTTCGCATTTATGTCTCCAAATGACTATCAACAATAAGATGGCCTCACTGCACACTTTGGTGATGGAAATACCAACTTGAGTATATAACAATGTCAATCAAACAATAGGAATTACACAATTGGCATCTGGTGAGTTATCACTGCTGGGGTCACTGCTTCTCCTCATACCAATCAGTGAACTGTTGTTGGTTTAGTTATGTTACTGCCCTTGAACTTGCTTTAGGACAGTCAACAGAGTAGACATATAAACTGTGTGTTGTTTTAAGGAAAATATTGTTTATTGCTTTTACAGAAGTGCCCCACTCTGGGCTAATAAGCGGTGCTTGTGCTGTTTGATTGGATTAAGATAAGGATATGTATCATTCCACTGGGAATGGGGTGGGGGAGTCGCATTGATATTGAGTCACATTATTGGCTAGGGGTCAGCAGTTGTAATAATTTGGAGATGCATTAATTTCCAGATTTACAGTAAGCTGCAGGTTACAGCCATACCTTTGTTGGCATACAACCACACCAACTTCACTAGGAATACCATCAAAAAACATCATGTGTTTGTGTTCTGTCTGGATGCTGAATTCTTGATTATTTCCATACACAGTGGCCTGTAAACAATCGAGTCTGTATCACGCCATATCACGGCGGCCTGTAAACAATCAAGTCCGGATTGATGCCGATTTATAGTGCGAGCCCACTGAGATACCATGCCGCAGTTTAACATGAATACTCCACTCAGATACTGTATACCGATTCCCAGCCAACCAGTCCTTGTTTTAGCCCCTTAATGCCCAGTGCCAGACACGGTAACAGCAAGTACCATCTTTTAACTTCTTTTGGTATGACGCAGCCAGGGATCGAACCCCGGACCTTCCGCTCTACCACTAGACCACGGAAGCGGTCGCATCTTATGTAGTTGATGTTGTATATAAATACTCAGCATTGTTAACATGATGTGTTCAGTTTGCGTAGAAATATTGTCAATAGAATTACGTCAGACTGAGGGACAGATTGATTATTTCCCTACCAATAAATCCACCATCAGCATTAAACCTCTCATCCATAGACAGTGTAAACAGGGTCTGAAGTAGAGAAAGGAAACAATTATAGACAAACAGGTTTGGACATCACATAGGAACATACACAGAATCCCTCCCAGAGTCCTTTCATATCAAGTAGATCTATAGGACCCGAAAAAAGTGTAAAACTGCGAGGCTTGCGGAGGAGTTTTAAACTTTTATCAAAGAGTGTTGATGTACTGCAAACCACAACATTAATGTGAAAAATGTGGCCATTAGCAGCTTGTATTAATAAAATGCTGCATTTTTATTACGCATTTTGCCATCCAAATTCACTATTCATTCGCGATTACTCATTTTTCAACTTCCCAAATGAGCAGACCGTGACTGATTGTGTTTCCACTTACTCAAAAACTCATGTGTGCTGCTTTGGAGTATGGTGTGTTGTTTCAAGGAAAATGTCATCTTGTTAGATGTCAGATGAGGGAAGTGTTCACCCCAATAGCAATCCACTGTGGTTTTTTTGTACTTTATCATGCTTTTAGTAGTATTATCCTGTCTGAACAAGACACCCTATCGGAAGTAGGGTGTCTCCCATTAATCAAGTGATACATAATTGTTATTGGGGTGCTCGCATTATTTTCATCGCTCATTAATTTCATGATTGTCAGCATTTGACATAAAAAAATATAAGCCATGAGAGTGAGATTCTATTTATCATTCCAAAATCCTGCTCCCATCTTTCTCAGTTTGTTAAACGTATTAACCAGTGTCTTGTGTTGAAACAAGTATAGGTAACCAGATCCAGTGCCAGGGACTAGTGACGTCATTTGATTGTGATGTCATCATGGTCATAGCAACTGATGATGTCATAATGCTCTGCAAAGCATTCTGATGCAAATACAAAGTAAGCAACATATAAGTAGCCCCTCATATAAGTAGTCCCCTAACTGTGGCCAGTAAATAATCAAGTCTGGGCCAGACAAACCAGGGGTTGATATTATGAGCAATGTCCGACGCAGTCAGGGTGTGACAAAAGTTTGACACAAGTATTCAAAGTCTGTGGATAACTCACGGGCTTGACGGCGGTGAGGATTCCGACATAGCCAGCGAAGTGGACGCCCTTGAAGAGGGTCTTGCCACCGCGGGTGTACTCGATGTTGACGATGAGCGGGCGCAGGAACTCGGAGATGTCCCACGTATTGTTCTTGATGTCCCAGCTGGAAGGGGAGGACAAACAGTGAAACCCTGTTAATCAGGACGCTACCATTTCCAGTGACACTGTCCAGTTTATCCAGTCATTGGTATATTGTTATGATCTTAACTAATACAGGTATCTGTCCAGGGGATGTAAGGTTTCCAGATAACCAGGGTCTGGGGTAGAGAGGTTTCACTGTACACAAGGTCAGCATGGTTTTTTATTACTGTAAACTATGTTTATAACGAACACGCTTATAACGAACTGACGGATATTATGAAATGTGTTTTGATCCCATCAGTTTGCTGTATATTTGCTGTATATATGCTTATAACGAACTACGGTTATAACAGTGTATAATAAACTAAAATTAGTGATCCTTTTGAGTTCATTATAACCGTAGTTTACTGTAATTATTTCTAGGCCGATTCTAGATGATCATTTTCTGCTACAGTACTGAACACCAAACTATAGAGAACTTGAAACTATTAACTACAGATGTATATCTGTGAAACAGCATCTCTCAGGGAAATAATGAGTCTGGGCAAATCTCATCAACTCGGCTAGGCATGCTCTCAGATCTGAATGTGCGGACACCTTCACCATGTTGAACCTCTTTCACTCCACATGGACGTCCCCACACACCTCCTCTCACAGACAGGAAGGACACTTACCCTAAGAACAGGCCGAACACCTCCTCTCACAGACAGGAAGGACACTTACCCTAAGATCAGGCCGAACATCTCCTCTCACAGACAGGAAGGACACTTACCCTAAGAACAGGCCGAACACCTCCTCTCACAGACAGGAAGGACACTTACCCTAAGAACAAGCCGAAGTCCTCCTCTCACAGACAGGAAGGACACTTACCCTAAGAACAAGCCGAACACCTCCTCTCACAGACAGGAAGGACACTTACCCTAAGAACAAGCCGAAGTCCTCCTCTCACAGACAGGAAGGACACTTACCCTAAGAACAGGCCGAACACCTCCTCTCACAGACAGGAAGGACACTTACCCTAAGAACAGGCCGAACATCTCCTCTCACAGACAGGAACAACACTCACCCCAAGAACAGGCCGAACACCTCCTCTCACAGACAGGAAGGACACTTACCCTAAGAACAGGCCGAACACCTCCTCTCACAGACAGGAAGGACACTTACCCTAAGATCAGGCCGAAGTCCTCCTCTCACAGACAGGAACAACACTCACCCCAAGAACAAGCCGAAGTCCTCCTCTCACAGACAGGAAGGACACTTACCCTAAGAACAGGCCGAACACCTCCTCTCACAGACAGGAAGGACACTCACCCTAAGAACAGGCCGAACACCTCCTCTCACAGACAGGAAGGACACTTACCCTAAGAACAGGCCGAACACCTCCTCTCACAGACAGGAAGGACACTCACCCTAAGAACAGGCCGAACACCTCCTCTCACAGACAGGAAGGACACTTACCCTAAGAACAGGCCGAACACCTCCTCTCACAGACAGGAAGGACACTTACCCTAAGAACAGGCCGAACACCTCCTCTCACAGACAGGAAGGACACTTACCCTAAGAACAGGCCGAACACCTCCTCTCACAGACAGGAAGGACACTTACCCTAAGAACAGGCCGAACACCTCCTCTCACAGACAGGAAGGACACTTACCCTAAGAACAGGCCGAACACCTCTCACAGACAGGAAGGACACTTACCCTAAGAACAGGCCGAACACCTCCTCTCACAGACAGGAAGGACACTTACCCTAAGAACAGGCCGAACACCTCCTCTCACAGACAGGAAGGACACTTACCCTAAGAACAGGCCGAACACCTTCTCTCACAGACAGGAAGGACACTCACCCTAAGAACAAGCCGAAGTCCTCCTCTCACAGACAGGAAGGACACTTACCCTAAGAACAGGCCGAACACCTCTCACAGACAGGAAGGACACTTACCCTAAGAACAGGCCGAACACCTCCTCTCACAGACAGGAAGGACACTTACCCTAAGAACAGGCCGAACACCTCCTCTCACAGACAGGAAGGACACTTACCCTAAGAACAGGCCGAACACCTCCTCTCACAGACAGGAAGGACACTTACCCTAAGAACAGGCCGAACACCTCCTCTCACAGACAGGAAGGACACTTACCCTAAGAACAGGCCGAACACCTCTCACAGACAGGAAGGACACTTACCCTAAGAACAGGCCGAACACCTCCTCTCACAGACAGGAAGGACACTTACCCTAAGAACAGGCCGAACACCTCCTCTCACAGACAGGAAGGACACTTACCCTAAGAACAGGCCGAACACCTTCTCTCACAGACAGGAAGGACACTCACCCTAAGAACAAGCCGAAGTCCTCCTCTCACAGACAGGAAGGACACTCACCCTAAGAACAGGCCGAAGTCCTCCTCTCACAGACAGGAAGGACACTTACCCTAAGAACAGGCCGAACACCTCCTCTCACAGACAGGAAGGACACTTACCCTAAGAACAAGCCGAAGTCCTCCTCTCACAGACAGGAAGGACACTCACCCTAAGAACAAGCCGAAGTCCTCCTCTCACAGACAGGAAGGACACTCACCCTAAGAACAGGCCGAAGTCCTCCTCTCACAGACAGGAAGGACACTTACCCTAAGAACAGGCCGAACACCTCCTCTCACAGACAGGAAGGACACTCACCCTAAGAACAGGCCGAACACCTCCTCTCACAGACAGGAAGGACACTTACCCTAAGAACAAGCCGAAGTCCTCCTCTCACAGACAGGAAGGACACTCACCCTAAGAACAGGCCGAACACCTCTCACAGACAGGAAGGACACTTACCCTAAGAACAGGCCGAACACCTCCTCTCACAGACAGGAAGGACACTCACCCTAAGAACAGGCCGAAGTCCAGGTTCCGGGCATGGAATAACTTCCCTATAAAACAACCCAGCAATGTACAGCGTCAGTAACGATGTCAGTTGTCACAAATTGATACATGTCTCAGTAGCAGGGCTACACATCATTAAATTAACAAAGAAGTTGATCACCATAAAACTATAATAACTAATATTCAAACTAATCAATAAAGGGTCAGTCCTCATAAAGTTTCAAACATACACTGAATTTAAAATGTAAACCACCCCAAAACTTTCCAATTCCAGGATCCACGTCTAGGTTCAGTATCTGGTCTGAAATGTTGGTCCTATCATGTCTAAGACAATCACAGTGCTATGATACTTGGTGAATGCTAACATCAAGGTGTCTCCTATCAAAGAGTCTGGTATCTGTTGTGTGAGCAGACGGCCAGCCACGTACCTGTGGGGTCCTCGGCCACGATGGAGGTGCAGACTGTGAAGAACTCGTAGAACAGATTGTACAGCACGACCTCCCCTGACATGGAGATTAGAATACAGGTTACCATGGTTACCCACATTCTCATCAATGTCAACATGTAAACCTACTATTGAAATCAAGGCATATGTGGTATAGGAAAGCTGTGATATTGCTGGCCTACTGATGAGTGTTAATCAAAACTTGCCCAAACTGGGCCCACTTGCACACAGTGACTGTAGCGCTACAACGATCGTAGCTTTAACATAGACTTACGAAAGTTGTTCTTGAATTTTTTTTGTCCAGAAGTAATTTCTTTTTTCTGTATATTAAATATCATGCAAACACAGCACTAACACGACACAATAAGTCTGAGAGCGAGTACCAAGTTTCAGCCCTGATGCCTTAGAGATGCCCGTCATCTCCCCGGGGAATGGGTATGGCAGCGTCTTGTCAAGCGTGGGCTGCAACAGTCGTGAGACAACCATCAGACAGACGACTGTGAACGCCTTGTTTACACTGAGAATAGATGCACAGCTTCACTAAGGCCCTCATAGATGCACAGCTTCACTAAGGCCCTCATAGATGCACAGCTTCACTAAGGCCCTCATAGATGCACAGCTTCACTAAGGCCCTCATAGATTCACAGCTTCACTAAGGCCCTCATAGATGCACAGCTTCACTAGGCCCTCTAAAAGCTCAGTTCTCAAAGATCATCATAGTCACACACTTCTGTTAGTAAGTTCATTTTTTCAAAATATTAAAAGGTGTGCATCTTTAAATATAAAACTGGTCGGGAGCAGGATACCATTTTGATTTTTTTTAAAATATTCTCGAATATGTCATGCTCAGACCGAAGGATCACATGACTGCAAATACCCCAAGCCCGTGAAGAATTAATTGCACTAAAAAATACACAACTGTCGGGCACTGGTCATGCAGAAGGATTGTAACTTACGAAGTTTTTGTCCACCCAGTCAATGACACCCTGTGCCTTCGGCGACCAATCCAAGGCATATTTCTTAAACTCTGCGAGGATATTCCTTATCTGAGGAGTAAACACACATGAAATGAGAAGTTACAATGTCATCTCATGGTTCTCTACGAGGGTATCGCAGTTTGAGACTTACACAGAGAATTGGACTGCGTTTTTGTCATAACTAGTTTTGTAATCTCATTTTTCTCTGGATTTGCAACGAGTTTACAGAACAGTAACAATTTAATTACAACACACTCATCAGCATGGAGAAACAAAAGGTTATCGTATTCTTTTTCATGACTGTTTGAATACACCCAGAAAAAAACTATCAAAGGATCACAGCATATATCATACATTGGGGGCCATATTATTACATAGATTAGTGGAAAATGTAAACTTTTAAAAACACATAAAGTATTTTGTTGTCCGATAACAAGCAGGAATTTATCAAGAATTCCAAACTATGTCCCCTTGGCAGGCAAATCGGGGAGAAACTGAGTGATTCTTTTCACAATTGGATTTATTTACCGTGAATGACTGAAGAAATATGAAATTTTTAATTCAAATTAGGATTTTTTACTGACAGTTGCCGCAGACCTGGGGCTGAATATCGGCATCTGAGCATATCCTTTTATTGCCACCAAATGTACATCCTCTGGGTTGATAATGCAGGATTACAAATGACAGAATAACATGAATGGAGTGTTATGGCCGGCACAGATAATATTGCGTATTGGTTCCTTTTGAAAAGCATGCTTCAGAGACATGGACAATATATATGAAACAAAGTTGAAGAGGAGCCAGAGATTGGTGACATCTGTGACTGTATCCCATAGGAATACATTAGGAATAGCTACAACACAAGTCCAACGCATATGTTGTAAATATTGGGTGAAATAACCAAATATTTAGTTAAGAAACACAATATTTATTATTCTATCTCATTTTGAATTTTTCTCTTGTCTGCTATGATGAAGATGCTGATCACTTTGGCAGCCATGTTTCTACACAATAATATGGCCGGCCACCTGCTGAAGCTTTGTATTGGCCAAAATAATCTAGATTACATTACTCAATCAAATTTCTAGTAAATGTAAATTATGACAAAAGCTGTATAATAATCCACACATACCTACAGTCGAGATGAGCTAAATAGAAGGAAGCAAACAAAAACCCAGCTGACCTAACAAACCCGGTGTGGTAGCTGTGCAGGTTGGCTAAACATAATTCAGGTGAGCTAACATAAGTTTAGTTGAGCAAACTATAGTCCAGTCAAAGTAGCTTTAGTGCAGCTATATTAACCATAATACTGTGAAGCTAACAATAATTCAAGGGAGATAACTACAGTTCATGTGAGCTAACTAAATGCACCTATACCCAGGTGAGCTAAGAGTGACCATTACCTGTACTGCCTTGTCTTCAACAACATGCGTCCACCTCTGTTCTGGGGGAAGGTCAAGGTTAACGACATAGGTTTTGACCTTCTTTCTGGAAATGCAAGGTCATAGAGCTAATCAATGGCTCTCAGGCAGTAATTGTGAAGCAGTTCTTGTCATCTTACTGTCATATCACATTCATTGAATTATCTTTGTGTTCAAAATCAAGCATTAAAGTCAAGGGGTCTTGTCATAACCCTAATGATAACAACTGTCCATTAAGGGGATCCCTACATCCAACATTATAACTCCCCCACTCTTCTAGACATACCCTTGATGATCAGCAATAACAATATCATGACTTATGACAGGCCATAATCTTATCACATAATCCTGATAATGTGTTATAAACATTGACCTGAGACTCATTTGACATCCAGATGTTACAGAGAAGAGGTACGCCCATTGGTATCTAATTGACAACATAGATAGTGCACGTGATCTACTCCCCTTAGCAAAAGCATGAATATCATTATGAGCTCAGAAAGAGCTTTCCCACCAATATCTAACTGTAATTCTGGCCAAACCACCATCTAATACAAAACAGACAAATTTTACTCCTTAATTAGGACAGACCAATCGTTTTCCTGCATTACAGATCAGTCAAACTGATTTTCCCTGATTATTTCAACAACAACAAAAATAATTTGCCAAGAACACTAAAATAGCAGAAGAGTTCTCAATGGAAGGGAAGTAACTCTCCCGCAATTTCACTTGCCGTCAGCATAAGTGATAACAATGTCAGTGGATGACTGTTGCGTCTCTGCAAATCCAATCACTGTTTGCCGAACTAAGACTAGTGCCTAGTGGGGATCACTTGTAGTTTGGAAAGTTATTGTGGGAAAGACTTGTATCCTGATTTGCCATCTAACGTCACAGCCATTTCAGCACAAAGAATGTGTAATAGAAGAAAAACATTGACCTGGTCTAAATAAACATGAACATTCCAGAACTTAGAGATTTTTGGTATCAATCAAAACACATTAGGAATCCCTGCTTATATTCTGGAATATATTCAATTTCTTCCAACATTGATTATCTTGACGAGAAGTCTGCCGACTCGTGCTGCCCAGCTGCCACAACTTACTCAGGTGAGGGAGGGTAGGTTCCTCGTACACAGCTCTCATTGTACTGAAAAAGAAATGCAACACTGTTACCAATGGTTACAGCAGCTGTGTGTGTGAGTGTGAGTGTGTGTGTGTGTGTGTGTGTGTGTGTGTGTGGTGGGGGTGGTGGTGGTGGTGGTTAACATCCTGTTACAGATGTCACACAAACACAACACTGTTACAGTAGGTGACATGGGGATTAACATCCTGTTACAGATGTCACACAAACACAACACTGTTACAGTAGGTGGCATGGGGATTAACATCCTGTTACAGATGTCACACAAACACAACACTGTTACAGTAGCTGGGGTAGGTGGCATGGGGTTTTACATCCTGTTACAGATGTCACACAAACACAACACTGTTACAGTAGCTGGGGTAGGTGGCATGGGGATTAACATCCTGTTACAGATGTCACACAAACACAACACTGTTACAGTAGCTGGGGTAGGTGGCATGGGGATTAACATCCTGTTACAGATGTCACACAAACACAACACTGTTACAGTAGGTGGCATGGGGATTAACATCCTGTTACAGATGTCACACAAACACAACACTGTTACAGTAGGTGACATGGGGATTAACATCCTGTTACAGATGTCACACAAACACAACACTGTTACAGTAGGTGGCATGGGGATTAACATCCTGTTACAGATGTCACACAAACACAACACTGTTACAGGAGCTGGGGTAGGTGGCATGGGGTTTAACATCCTGTTACAGATGTCACACAAACACAACACTGTTACAGGAGCTGGGGTAGGTGGCATGGGGTTTAACATCCTGTTTCAGATGTCACACAAACACAACACTGTTACAGCAGGTGGGGTAGGTGGCATGGGGATTAACATCCTGTTACAGATGTCACACAAACACAACACTGTTACAGTAGGTGGCATGGGGATTAACATCCTGTTACAGATGTCACACAAACACAACACTGTTACAGCAGGTGGGGTAGGTGGCATGGGGATTAACATCCTGTTACAGATGTCACACAAACACAACACTGTTACAGTAGGTGGCATGGGGATTAACATCCTGTTACAGATGTCACACAAACACAACACTGTTACAGTAGGTGGCATGGGGATTAACATCCTGTTACAGATGTCACACAAACACAACACTGTTACAGTAGGTGGCATGGGGATTAACATCCTGTTACAGATGTCACACAAACACAACACTGTTACAGTAGGTGGCATGGGGTTTAACATCCAGTTACAGATGTCACACAAACACAACACTGTTACAGTAGGTGGCATGGGGATTAACATCCTGTTACAGATGTCACACAAACACAACACTGTTACAGTAGGTGGCATGGGGATTAACATCCTGTTACAGATGTCACACAAACACAACACTGTTACAGTAGGTGGTATGGGGATTAACATCCTGTTACAGATGTCACACAAACACAACACTGTTACAGTAGCTGGGGTAGGTGGCATGGGGATTAACATCCTGTTACAGATGTCACACAAACACAACACTGTTACAGTAGCTGGGGTAGGTGGCATGGGGTTTAACATCCTGTTACAGATGTCACACAAACACAACACTGTTACAGTAGCTGGGGTGGGTGGCATGGGGTTTAACATCCTGTTACAGATGTCACACAAACACAACACTGTTACAGTAGGTGGCATGGGGTTTAACATCCTGTTACAGATGTCACACAAACACAACACTGTTACAGCAGCTGGGGTAGGTGGCATGGGGTTTAACATCCTGTTACAGATGTCACACAAACACAACACTGTTACAGGAGCTGGGTTAGGTGGCATGGGGTTTAACATCCTGTTACAGATGTCACACAAACACAACACTGTTACAGTAGGTGGCATGGGGTTTAACATCCTGTTACAGATGTCACACAAACACAACACTGTTACAGTAGGTGGCATGGGGTTTAACATCCTGTTACAGATGTCACACAAACACAACACTGTTACAGTAGCTGGGGTAGGTGGCATGGGGTTTAACATCCTGTTACAGATGTCACACAAACACAACACTGTTACAGTAGGTGGTATGGGGATTAACATCCTGTTACAGATGTCACACAAACACAACACTGTTACAGCAGCTGGGTTAGGTGACATGGGGTTTAACATCCTGTTACAGATGTCACACAAACACAACACTGTTACAGCAGCTGGGGTAGGTGGCATGGGGTTTAACATCCTGTTACAGATGTCACACAAACACAACACTGTTACAGTAGGTGACATGGGGTTTAACATCCTGTTACAGATGTCACACAAACACAACACTGTTACAGCAGCTGGGGTAGGTGGCATGGGGTTTAACATCCTGTTACAGATGTCACACAAACACAACACTGTTACAGTAGCTGGGGTAGGTGGCATGGGGTTTAACATCCTGTTACAGATGTCACACAAACACAACACTGTTACAGTAGGTGGTATGGGGATTAACATCCTGTTACAGATGTCACACAAACACAACACTGTTACAGCAGCTGGGTTAGGTGACATGGGGTTTAACATCCTGTTACAGATGTCACACAAACACAACACTGTTACAGCAGCTGGGGTAGGTGGCATGGGGTTTAACATCCTGTTACAGATGTCACACAAACACAACACTGTTACAGTAGGTGACATGGGGTTTAACATCCTGTTACAGATGTCACACAAACACAACACTGTTACAGCAGCTGGGGTAGGTGGCATGGGGTTTAACATCCTGTTACAGATGTCACACAAACACAACACTGTTACAGTAGGTGGTATGGGGATTAACATCCTGTTACAGATGTCACACAAACACAACACTGTTACAGTCGTTGGCATTGGGTTTAACATCCTGTTACAGATGTCACACAAACACAACACTGTTACAGTAGCTGGGGTAGGTGGCATGGGGTTTTACATCCTGTTACAGATGTCACACAAACACAACACTGTTACAGGAGCTGGGGTAGGTGAGATGGGGTTTAACATCCTGTTACAGATGTCACACAAACACAACACTGTTACAGTAGGTGGTATGGGGATTAACATCCTGTTACAGATGTCACACAAACACAACACTGTTACAGCAGCTGGGTTAGGTGACATGGGGTTTAACATCCTGTTACAGATGTCACACAAACACAACACTGTTACAGCAGCTGGGGTAGGTGGCATGGGGTTTAACATCCTGTTACAGATGTCACACAAACACAACACTGTTACAGTAGGTGACATGGGGTTTAACATCCTGTTACAGATGTCACACAAACACAACACTGTTACAGCAGCTGGGGTAGGTGGCATGGGGTTTAACATCCTGTTACAGATGTCACACAAACACAACACTGTTACAGTAGCTGGGGTAGGTGGCATGGGGTTTAACATCCTGTTACAGATGTCACACAAACACAACACTGTTACAGTAGGTGGTATGGGGATTAACATCCTGTTACAGATGTCACACAAACACAACACTGTTACAGCAGCTGGGTTAGGTGACATGGGGTTTAACATCCTGTTACAGATGTCACACAAACACAACACTGTTACAGCAGCTGGGGTAGGTGGCATGGGGTTTAACATCCTGTTACAGATGTCACACAAACACAACACTGTTACAGTAGGTGACATGGGGTTTAACATCCTGTTACAGATGTCACACAAACACAACACTGTTACAGCAGCTGGGGTAGGTGGCATGGGGTTTAACATCCTGTTACAGATGTCACACAAACACAACACTGTTACAGTAGGTGACATGGGGATTAACATCCTGTTACAGATGTCACACAAACACAACACTGTTACAGTCGTTGGCATTGGGTTTAACATCCTGTTACAGATGTCACACAAACACAACACTGTTACAGTAGCTGGGGTAGGTGGCATGGGGTTTTACATCCTGTTACAGATGTCACACAAACACAACACTGTTACAGGAGCTGGGGTAGGTGAGATGGGGTTTAACATCCTGTTACAGATGTCACACAAACACAACACTGTTACAGTAGGTGGTATGGGGATTAACATCCTGTTACAGATGTCACACAAACACAACACTGTTACAGTAGGTGACATGGGGATTAACATCCTGTTACAGATGTCACACAAACACAACACTGTTACAGTCGGTGGCATGGGGATTAACATCCTGTTACAGATGTCACACAAACACAACACTGTTACAGCAGCTGGGTTAGGTGACATGGGGTTTAACATCCTGTTACAGATGTCACACAAACACAACACTGTTACAGCAGCTGGGGTAGGTGGCATGGGGTTTAACATCCTGTTACAGATGTCACACAAACACAACACTGTTACAGTAGGTGACATGGGGTTTAACATCCTGTTACAGATGTCACACAAACACAACACTGTTACAGGAGCTGGGGTAGGTGGCATGGGGTTTAACATCCTGTTACAGATGTCACACAAACACAACACTGTTACAGTAGCTGGGGTAGGTGGCATGGGGTTTAACATCCTGTTACAGATGTCACACAAACACAACACTGTTACAGTAGGTGGTATGGGAATTAACATCCTGTTACAGATGTCACACAAACACAACACTGTTACAGCAGCTGGGTTAGGTGACATGGGGTTTAACATCCTGTTACAGATGTCACACAAACACAACACTGTTACAGCAGCTGGGGTAGGTGGCATGGGGTTTAACATCCTGTTACAGATGTCACACAAACACAACACTGTTACAGTAGGTGACATGGGGTTTAACATCCTGTTACAGATGTCACACAAACACAACACTGTTACAGCAGCTGGGGTAGGTGGCATGGGGTTTAACATCCTGTTACAGATGTCACACAAACACAACACTGTTACAGTAGGTGACATGGGGATTAACATCCTGTTACAGATGTCACACAAACACAACACTGTTACAGTCGTTGGCATGGGGTTTAACATCCTGTTACAGATGTCACACAAACACAACACTGTTACAGTAGCTGGGGTAGGTGGCATGGGGTTTTACATCCTGTTACAGATGTCACACAAACACAACACTGTTACAGCAGCTGGGGTAGGTGAGATGGGGTTTAACATCCTGTTACAGATGTCACACAAACACAACACTGTTACAGTAGGTGGTATGGGGATTAACATCCTGTTACAGATGTCACACAAACACAACACTGTTACAGTAGGTGACATGGGGATTAACATCCTGTTACAGATGTCACACAAACACAACACTGTTACAGTCGGTGGCATGGGGAATAACATCCTGTTACAGATGTCACACAAACACAACACTGTTACAGTAGGTGACATGGGGATTAACATCCTGTTACAGATGTCACACAAACACAACACTGTTACAGTGGGTGGCATGGGGAATAACATCCTGTTACAGATGTCACAAAAACACAACACTGTTACAGGAGCTGGGGTATGTGGCATGGGGATTAACATCCTGTTACAGATGTCACACAAACACAACACTGTTACAGGAGCTGGGGTAGGTGACATGGGGTTTTACATCCTGTTACAGATGTCACACAAACACAACACTGTTACAGGAGCTGGGGTAGGTGGCATGGGGTTTAACATCCTGTTACAGATGTCACACAAACACAACACTGTTACAGTAGGTGACCTTAGGGTTTAACATCCTGTTACAGATGTCACACAAACACAACACTGTTACAGGAGCTGGGGTAGGTGGCATGGGGTTTAACATCCTGTTACAGATGTCACACAAACACAACACTGTTACAGTAGGTGACCTTAGGGTTTAACATCCTGTTACAGATGTCACACAAACACAACACTGTTACAGTAGGTGGCATGGGGTTTTACATCCTGTTACAGATGTCACACAAACACAACACTGTTACAGTAGCTGGGGTAGGTGGCATGGGGTTTAACATCCTGTTACAGATGTCACACAAACACAACACTGTTACAGGAGCTGGGGTAGGTGGCATGGGGTT